TTGACTCAATGGTCTTAAAGGATTTTTCCTACCATAAAAATTCTATGATTCCATGAGGACAGGTTTTTGTTTTTTGGCTCTCCACAGAGAAAGTGCAGCTGGAAATCGACACAGTGCTTGGCCAGTCCCGCCAGCCCACGATGGCCGACAAGGAGAACATGCCCTACACCAGCGCGGTGCTGAGCGAGGTCCTGAGAATGGGCAACGTGGTGCCACTGGGGGTGCCCAGGATGGCCACCAGCGACACCACCCTGGCCGGCTTCCACCTGCCCAAAGTGCGTGGAGTCCACCAGCCTCCATCCTACCAGAGCAGGGTCTTCATAGCCCAAATTCCAAATCTCACCTGGAAGGGAACCAACCAGCAGGATCTTGCAGAGATATCACTGTTTATAGAAAATACAAGGCCTCCTGGTAGAGGGTGTGGGGCTGTTGCGGGTCTCAACTCCTTACAGAGGAGAATTGTGAGATCCTTATGGTGTTGGTCATGATTTCCAATTTTAAAAGATTTATCCCTTAAAATTTTATAATTGTGTATTCCACACATTATGGGAATAGAGGGCCAAGAAACATGGGAAAGCAAATAGTTTGTGTTTGTTAATTCCACAGAGTATTAAAAATCATCTATTAAAAATAGAACTTGATTAAAGCCAGGTAGTGGGTATTGCTGCACACACATTGTGCTGCAATTACGAAAGCAAATATCGGATTAGATACAACTAGCCTCTTCAATCTATATGGCTGATTGCATCCAGGAAAAATAGAAATAAAAAATCTGGGTGTTTTCCTCAACACTAATTAGAATATTTCTCTTGCTGATGGAGGATGTGGAGATAAACCAGATTAGGTTTGGGGTTTTTTTAAGGCACAATAAAACAAACTGATTCAAAAGTATTTGATTAAATTGCTTCAAATTCCTATGTGAATGCAGTGTTACCAATTTAAAGTTGTTTTATAGTAACATCACCTGTTACAGCAGTTCAAGGTGTGGATCAACACTATGGAGATACTTAAAGACACACAGAAGTGAACAATCCTGTACGTTTTCATCCTTATTCAATTACATAGCTTAGGGGGGAAAAAAAACCAAAGCATTTTGACTTAAGAAAATGTAGTTTACACTGTGTGTGGAACAGAGCTAATAATAACCCAGTCTGACAACACGTTGGCTCTTCTCCGCCACATAATCGCCCGCTTTCCCCACCTCTCACAGGGCACCACCCTGATGACCAGCCTGACTTCGATAATGTTCGACAAAAACGTGTGGGAGACTCCAGACACCTTTAATCCTGAACATTTCCTGGAAAACGGCCAGTACAGGAGGCGGGAGGCTTTTCTGCCCTTCTCTGCAGGTAGGATGATGGATGGGGAGGTGGTTTTCCTTTTTGCAATGCTTTTATTTTTTTTCCCCCCAAGACACAGCTTATAGAGTAGGGGGCACTTCTCCTGTCCAGCTTCCAGCCCATCCCCACAGTGAAAATCCCAGTCACTGTTATACTGGCTGCTCGGAGCAGGAGGGAAATCGATTTTGTTATTGCAGGATTAAAGAAATAAGCCTTTTTCCTCTTGCACAAGTTGCATAACCAGGGTTTTTTCACCATTTCCCCTTTCTGTCTATCTGAGCAGCCGCAGTTTGCTCAGCAGTAAACTTCTGGGTAAGGTTTGAGCAGATTGTGTGGGTGAACATTGCCACCTAACCTTTCCAGGAAGAAAAGCCTCAGCAGCCTGTGAGAGGCAGCGCAGGCAAGATGAGACTCAGAGGTGGCTGGAGCTCGCTCAGGACTTTTTTGGAGTATTTTTTGCTCCTTTTCAGGCAAGAGGGCTTGTCCCGGGGAGCAGCTCGCCAGGACTGAGCTCTTCATCTTCTTCGTAGCCCTCCTGCAGAAGTTCACCTTCCAGGCGCCGGCAGACACCACGCTGAGCTTTGCCTTCACGCTCAGCCTCACACGCTGCCCCAAGCCCTTCCAGATCTGCGCGTTGCCTCGTGACTGAGGCCAGCGTGGGGCTGCTCCATGATCCCCCTCTGCATCCCTCCACAAACTGGAGAGTGTCCCTTCCCCATCTGCCCCACAGATTTTGGGCTGCAGTGATGGGCCATGGAAGTCTAGCACCCACCAACATCTGGGTGGCAGGGGAAGGGCAGAAGGGCCACATTCTGTACACTGCACCAAAGACAACCCTTGTGGTTCTTCCCTTCATTTCATTCCTCCTCCCCTCTACCAGTTTGAAAAAATGCATGAATTTAAAAGCCTTATTACCTCATTTCCACTGTTAGCAACTCGCAGGAAGCTGTCTGCCACCTGCAAACCATGGTTTCGTGTTGACTTCTCCATGAGGGGATATGCCCATCACTCAGAGACCATTTAGCAACCACTAAATACCAGAGCTGCAGAACTCCATATAGCCAAGGGCTGTGTTTTCTGTCCTTTGGCAGGGAGAGCAGCTGGCCTTGGACGTGATGTACAAACCCTGAGCTTATGCCTGAGCACAAATTTGTACTTCAAGGTAGCCGTGGACAATCCTAAACCTCAGATGGGACTGGGCTTGGGCTCGGTGTGGTGGACACTACCTGCACCACCACACTGATGCTTCGAGAAGGAAATCACAGAATCACAAAATGGTTTTGGTTAGAAGAGACCTTAAAGATCATCCTGTTCCACCCCCCTACCATGGGCAGGGACACCTTCCACTAGACCAGGGTTGCTCCAAGCCCCAAATCAAAGTCCAACCTGGCCTTGAACACTTCCAGGGATTAAAAATATCTAAGCAGCGATCTCTGCAGCAGCAGCATGCATTTTTTGGATCTTAGAGAAAATATGGAAATTTTAATTAGGAAGCAACACAGGGGAAAAGCAGCATCTTCTACCAAAATTCCAGCCCAAGTGGGATGGCAAAAAGAGCTGTACAACTAGCAGGACTGGAATGATTATAAAAATACAGTATTGTGATATTGTAATAGAAATTAAAAAGGTTTGTGCTAATAAAATGTAAAACAGAAAAATTGCAAAAAAACCATCCCTCTGTTGCTTGGGAGCCCTTTATCCAAAGCACAAGAGAAGCAGAAGCAGCACAGAGTGTTGGAAGGGTCGTGCCTGTGGCGCTCACCACTGGCTGTCAGGAAGGAAGTGGCTTTGTGGTGAGAAGTCACCAGTTCAACACTTCCCCTCTCTTTGTGCCCAAGATTTGGGGCCCTGCATGATGGGCATGGACACAGCGTGGGGCCGAGGAACTGGGTTGGGACGTGGCCCCCTCGGTGACGGACACGCTGCTCCTGCCTGTCCCAGCTCCCTTTGGAGAAGAGTTCAATAAACATGCAACTTACTGGAAAGAGCTTTTCCATTTACATGGCCAAATATTTATGCTTAGAAAGGCTGTCTCCTGGCTGCTTCTGTCTGCAGTGGAGTCCCAGCAAAGATGGTTCTTTTTTCTCTTTTTTGGCTTCTCACCTTTCATAAAAGAATTTTCAATGGGCACCCACGTAGGACACAGAAGAGTTAACAGGAAAAGAGGATTCCATTGAGTTCCATTTCCACTGCTTTCCTCCTCCATCCCTGGCAATAACCACTTTGCTGCAGTACAAAGCAATCACTGTGCAGTGGCAGGTTTATGCCACAGGGGAGAGTCCTCTGCACATCACATGCCTGCCACACCTGGCACACAGGGATTCTGTCACTGAGCTGGCCTTCCAACTCAACACTTAAATCCCATTGCGTTTTTAATTAATGTTTAGCACTCACAGGTTCACAAGCTGTGTTGTCTTTCTCAAAGAGAAAACATAAAAGGTCTGAACTTGTCAAAGCCACTCAGAACCATGCATTCGTTTCTCTTCATTTTTTTCAACATGCTGCTGTAGGTCTGACCTCTTCATGTGGTTACAACTTGTATCATTTGAAGAGGCTTAGCAATGAATGAGAATTGTAATGAAGACATTCTCCTCAAAATCAGGTTTTCCCCCTTTAAGTTCCACAATAAAACAGGATTTAATTTTCAAACTACAAAAGTGTGAGGGTTATGGAGAACACATGAATAGCATCACCCCAGTGGCTCTGCTGCACCTTTGTGCCTTGTCATCGCCACTGGAAAACCCCAGTGGCCAAAACTGATGATCTCAAAAAGGGGGAAAGGAACCCAAAACATCCTTCAGAGCACGAGGTGGCAGCTGTCAAATGCAGAGCCAAGTGGTGCAAAGTCAAACTGTTCTGCAAACATTCTGCTGCTTTCACAATAAAACACAACATGTACATCAAAAGTAAACGTGGTGCACAAGCATGGACACCTCCCTGCCTCAGAGCCGCTCCAAGGGGGGAAATTCAGCACAGCCTGTTCCCATCTACCATGAAAGGGCCCCGGCCGGCAGAGCTGGGCATCTGCTTTGGCTTCTCAGCACCTGCCCCAACCGGAGGGGCTTTGGGAACCGCTCCACCACGGGCTACACACCCAAAAGGACAAGGGATGTCTGGGAAGGCATGGCTGGAGCGCTCGGGCAGGGCCAACCTCACGGCCAGAGCAGGTTGTTCTGCTTGCACTGTCCCGTGGGGATCAGAAAATGACGGTGCCTCGGAACCGCTGCAGAGCCTGGATGGCTCTTTGCTTCCAGCCCGCGTCACTCTGACACACAGAACCCGGAAGGAATCAGTCAGAGGGTTTGGGAAAGGTTTGTGCAACCTTATCTCGGATGCCCCCGGCAACCTGGGGCTTGGTCTGGGGCTCTTCAAAGCAGCGAACGAGCTCCTGCAGGCGAGGAAAGCTCGGGGCACTCGGAGCGGCTGGAGCCTGCCCGGCACCGTGGAGCTGACACCGGGACACGGCACAGTGAGGGCACCACGGGCATGAGAGAGCAGGGCTGGGGCTGAGCCAGCGGCTTGTGGGAACAGCGCAGGGAAGCTGCCGGAAGGTTTTAATCTTGATCCCGCAAAGCTCCTTTCTGTCCTTTAGACAAGGCAGGGATCACCGGGCTTTAGGGAAGCAGCGCTGGGAGGCGGGAGGGGAAAGGGGCAGCTGGGGGTGTTTTGGTTTGTGGTGGTTTGTGGTTTTCAATCGCAGCAGAGGAAATGCTCGAGTTTAATCAAGAAGGGGTTTAATCCTTGCTGAGAGCTGGGAAAGCAGGAGTCTGAACGCAGCCTCTAGAGCAGGGCAGCAAAAGCTGCTCCGTGTTCTCTTCTGTTTGTGCCCACAGAGCCAGCACATCACTCCTCTCCCCCTGTCCCTGGGGATTGATTCAGTGGTGCCCTGGGAGCTCAACTAGTCCTGACACATCATTGGACACGTTCCTATACGGCTCTCCTGTCCAGCCATGCTGCACTTTCTCTGGGACAGCATCTCCTTCTCTACACTCCTCATCTGCCTCGTTGTCTTCCTGTTTGTCGCTGACTACATGAAGAACAGAAACCCAAAGAACTTCCCTCCCACCCCTTTACGCCTTCCCTTTGTAGGGCACCTTTACTTGATGGTCTTCAAAGATCCCATAAGCTCAGTGCAGAAGGTACGGGCGTGGTGGGCACTGTGGGAGAAGGAACAGAGGGAATTGCAGCTGCAGGGAAAGGGTTAAAGCAGACACCATGGGCCAGGAAGGAGGTTTATCATCATAAGTGCCATTTACCTGGGTACGAGGTGGGGCACGAGTGTGCAGTGATCCCTGGGGCAAAGGGCACAACATGATCCTACAGTTGCTGTTGCAAATGTCAGAGCCTCACAGGACTGAGTTGGGGTCGGGAAGGGTGTTTGGGAAGGGAGCACAACAAAAGCTGGAAAAACACAGAACTGAAAAATCAAACCTTGAGAGGTTTACTTGATTTATGGCCAAAGAACAACAACTCTGATCAGTGATTCAGGGAAAGAGGAAAGAAAAAACACTCTACAGTCAGGCAGAGATTTGTGCACAAATTCTGTTTCCTCTCCCACCCTCAGCTTCCCTTTATTTTTACCTGTGCCCTATAACAGGGCTGTCACTGTCCCAACAGACACATTCACTTCAAATGAAATCCCCTTTATTTATTTCCTCACCCAGGCTAATGAAATATATGGTGACATCTTCGGCATGTCCATGGGCAGCAACAGGTTTGTGATAGTAAATGGGATGCGACTGGTTAAGGAAGTCCTTGTAAACCAAGGCGAAGACTTCCTAGAGCGCCCAGAAATGCCTACTGAAATCTTCAGCAAGATAGGTGAGTGATCCCTCAGGACATGCACCTCAGCTGGGAGGTCCAGGTGTTGGCCCTGCAGAGGTCTGAGACAGATGGGGAGAAGGCAGAGCCCTGGAGCTTTTCTGCTCCCTGGGGGATCGGCCTTGGCTCACAGGGGGCTCTTTCTGCCAGGACTGATCAACTCCAGTGGGCACTTGTGGAAGGCACAGAGGAGGTTCACCTTGACCACCCTCCGAAACTTTGGCTTGGGGAAGAGGAGCGTGGAGGAACGCATCCAGGAGGAATGCCGATTCCTCGTGGATGCCATTAAGGATGAGCAGGGTGAGTGCCTCCCTCAGCAGCTGGACTGCAGGCAGGAACAGGCCTGTTATCATTGCACCCATGGTTCACTGCATGCTGGAAAATACCTCACCTTACAAGGGATGCTGCAGCCCCACCAGCGGCCCTGCTCCCTCCTGCAGGGGTCTGGCCTTCAAACTGCCTGGTGAGTGCAGGCAGGTAACACCCCACACATTGTTCATAGCCCACCTCCTGCCTCCTGCTCTCTGGGAGATCTCTGGGAAATACCATGTGTGTATAAACACTGATGTTCACAAGGAATTCCAGTGACATCAACAATGATATTTCCAATGAATTCCACTGACATCCCTCTCCTGCAGATCTTCCTTTTCAAAGGAAGCAAACATCTCTATAACCTGATAGAACTGGGACTACTGGGGTTTCCCAGACAAGCTTGGCCAGCTCATGGGGGCAGCGAGGTGTCCAAAGAAAGCAGTGACACAGGATGGTCACTGGGACCACTCATTTCATTTGTATTTGTTGACCATTTTACCTTTACCAAGTGTGTTTTCTTCTCCTTTTCTGACAAGACCAGAAAATAATTGTTCTTTTCATTCTTCAGGGAATCCTTTTGACCCTCAGTTTACACTCACTAACGCTGTTTCAAACGTCATCTGCTCCCTCACCCTCGGCAATCGGTTTGACTACCACGATAAGGACTTCCGAAACTTGCTGAAGCTTCTCCATGAGATGATTATCCTCCAAGGAGACATCACAGCCCAGGTACAGCCGTCCTGTCACTGACCCACAGCCACAGTTTCTTCTCTGGAGTCATCCTCAGAGCTCAGTGTTGTCATCACCAAACCTGTCTTTGCTGATTCCTTTGCACAGGGTAGATTTGCCTGTAATTTCTTTCTGCCTTAGTTTCAAGCTGGGCCTTGCTTACGCTACCTCCTCTCACCCAGCATCACTTTTCCTGACCATTGACTGCCAACCTGCCTGCTATAATACCTGGGAACACACAAGTCTTTCCTTCATGAGGGATTCCTTCTCATCTTCAGATGAGCTATTTCCACCAACTCCAGCACTTCAAACCTCAATTTGGCTTTTTGAAGGGGTTTTCAGTCCATTATTCAAGTTGTCTTTCTCCTTTTGTGTCCAAAGCTGTACAACTCTTTTCCCATCTATAATGAAGTTCCTCCCTGGAGCACACCAAACCATTTTCAAAAACTCAAAGTTCTTGAAAAGCTATATGGAAGAGCAGATCAACAAACACAAGGAGGATTGGAATCCCTCAGAGAGCCGGGACTACATCGACAGCTACCTGCAGGAGATAGCCAAGGTCAGCAATGCAGAGCAAAGCCTTCTGCAGCAGGGCTTAGAAATGAGGAGGGATGAGAAACGAGCCCAAATTCTCCAGCTGAGTTTAGGACAGCACATCAGGCTCTGGGCACCCATTAGTGGGATGGAATGGCAGGGGGTCAGCAGCTCCTGCCCAAATTCTTGTGTGGTTTACACTAGGCTTAGTGTCAGGACTGCCCTCAGTGTTCCTGCAGCACTAACACACCTTTTTGTGAAGGACAAGGGCAGTGACACCTTCCGGGAGGAACATCTTATCATGTGCTTGCTTGACCTGATGTTTGCTGGAACAGAGACCACTTCCTCAACCCTCCGCTGGGCTCTGCTGTTCATGGCCTTACATCCAGAAATTCAAGGTACAAGTAGCAAAAGGTCAGGGTTTCCCTTCCTTTTATCTCTCACAGCTTTGTGAGAGACACTTTTCTTGAGGGAAAAGTTGTGAATCTCCCTGCAGTCACACAAAAAAGGTGCAAACAGGGGCAGGTGTCCCCTTAGGAGTCCGTCCCAGCCACAACCTTGTGTTATTCCGAAGGGTTTTATCCCTGGGCCTCAGCTGATTCCTGCTCTTTCCCACCAGCCCGCGTGCAAGCTGAGATCGACGCCGTCATCGGACAGGCACGGCAGCCAGTGCTGGAGGACAGGAACAACATGCCCTACACCAACGCCGTCATCCATGAGGTGCAGAGGAAAGCCAACATCGTCCCTTTCAATGTGCCAAGAATGGCAGTAAAGGACACAACTCTGGATGGCTTCTTCATCCCAAAGGTAAGCTCATTCCTGAGCACTGGGACCTCAGGGAGACTCCCAGCTCCCCAGGCACAACTCACCAGGCCAGGTCCCTCCTGCACAGACACGCTGTCCCTGCCGTGTCCAGAGTTCACTCCTGCTGAATGTGGATTTTTGCCATCCAACCAACCAACCAATATTCTCCAGCTCCCCAAATGGTGCAGAGCCCTACAGGGTGCCACACCCCCCGGGCACAGATCCCAAGTTCACAGAGCTCTTAGAGGAAATCTGGCCCAAGATTACAGCAGACAAAAGGGATGCTGATGAGTGGAAAATGTGGTTCTATAATCCCTGAACCTCCAAAGAAACCCTGGCCCTGGAGGGGTTGTTAAACAACGAATTGCAGTAGAATTTGACTTTGCATGTTCTTCATGGAGAGATTGCAAGATAAAGCTGCCCCTCCTGCTGTCAGTGCCACTGGAAGTGTGATCTATTTTTCTTTTTCTCCTCTTAGGGCACTATTGTGATGACAAATATAACCTCTGTGATGTTTGACAAGAACGAGTGGGAAACCCCCGACACTTTTAACCCCGGGCATTTCCTGAAGGATGGGAAGTTCTGGAAAAGGGAATATTTTCTAGCATTTTCTGTGGGTAAGATCTACTGAATTGTGGTGTTTTCGTGCTGAGGCTCCAGGCTTAGGTTTCCAGGTGCATGGATAGAAAAGGCATATACAGTCATGAGGTGCCAATCAAAAAGTGGCCATGTGGTCATTCCAAAGCACCACAACCACACTCAGAGCCCTTTGTTTTCTCTCTTTTTAAATGCAAGGAAGGAAGATGAGATGAATAAAAAACCGTGATAATTCCAGAGACCCCAGGAACAGCTTAACCAGGGCAGAAGCATGACTGTATATGGTTAAAAAGACAAGCCCTTGCAATGTTATGCAATATGGGGGCAGCCCGTGTTGCAATGCCAGTGTCCTCATTGGGAAACTCAGGTTGGGCTACAAAACCTATCCAGGATGGGGTTTGGGTGACAGAGGTTTGGGTAAGAGAGCTGGATCATGGTCCTAAGGGATGGTAGAATCATTTCCATCAGCAAAAGCTCAGTCTGAGGATGCTGTGGGTTGCTGTCTCCGCAGGGAAGCGCGCCTGCCTGGGCGAGGTGCTGGCCCGCTCCGAGCTCTTCCTCTTCTTCACGTCTCTGCTCCAGAAATTCACCTTCCAGGCACCCCCGGACACCACGCTCAGCCTCCAGCCCATGGCAGGCACGACAATTGACCCAGAACCCTACAAGATCTGCGCTGTGCCTCGGTAGGGAAGCCTTGGCTACCATCCTCACAGGGAAAATCCTTTGTCAGGAACGCTGAAAACAAGCCCTCAACAGCTCGTCTGTGCTAATCAAATAAAAACCAGAAAAGCTGCAAAAAAATAATCCTTCTGTTGCTTGGGAGCCCTTTATCCAAAGCCCAAGAGAAGCAGAAGCAGCACAGAGTGTTGGAAGGGTCGTGCCTGTGGCGCTCACCACTGGCTGTCAGGAAGGAAGTGGCTTTGTGGTGAGAAGTCACCAGTTCAACACTTCCCCTCTCTTTGTGCCCAAGATTTGGGGCCCTGCATGATGGGCATGGACACAGCGTGGGGCCGAGGAACTGGGTTGGGACGTGGCCCCCTCGGTGACGGACACGCTGCTCCTGCCTGTCCCAGCTCCCTTTGGAGAAGAGTTCATTAAACATGCAACTTACTGGAAAGAGCTTTTCCATTTACATGGCCAAATATTTATGCTTAGAAAGGCTGTCTCCTGGCTGCTTCTGTCTGCAGTGGAGTCCCAGCAAAGATGGTTCTTTTTTCTCTTTTCTTGGCTTCTCACCTTTCATAAAAGACTTTTCAATGGGCACGCACGTAGGACACAGAAGAGTTAACAGGAAAAGAGGATTCCATTAAGTTCCATTTCCATTGGTTTCCTCCTCCATCCCTGGCAATAACCACTTTGCTGCAGTACAAAGCAATCACTGTGCAGTGGCAGGTTTATGCCACAGGGGAGAGTCCTCTGCACATCACATGCCTGCCACACCTGGCACACAGGGATTCTGTCACTGAGCTGGCCTTCCAACTCAACACTTAAATCCCATTGCGTTTTTAATTAATGTTTAGCAGTCATGGGCTCACAAGTTGTGTTGTCTTTCTCCAAGAGTGAAAAAAAGATCTTTTTTCCCCCTTTAATTTTCACCATAAAACAGGGATTTAATTTTCAAGCTTCCCCAGTGTGAGGGCTATGGATGAATGGCATCACTCCAGTGGCTCTGCTGCACCTCTGAGCCTTGTTATCACCACTGGACAACCCCAGTGGCCAAAACTGATGATCTCAAAAGTGGGGAAAGGAACCCAAAACATCCTTCAGAGCACGAGGTGGCAGCTGTCAAATGCAGAGCCAAGTGGTGCAAAGTCAAACTGTTCTGCAAACATTCTGCTGCTTTCACAATAAAACACAACATGTACATCAAAAGTAAACGTGGTGCACAAGCATGGACACCTCCCTGCCTCAGAGCCGCTCCAAGGGGGGAAATTCAGCACAGCCTGTTCCCATCTACCATGAAAGGGCCCTGGCCAGCAGAGCTGGGCATCTACTTTGGCTTCTCAGCACCTGCCCCAGCTCTGTGGGGCTTTGGGAACCGCTCCACCACGGGCTACACACCCAAAAGGACAAGAGATGTCTGGGAAGGCATGGCTGGAGCGCTCGGGCAGGGCCAACCTCACGGCCAGAGCAGGTTGTTCTGCTTGCACTGTCCCGTGGGGATCAGAAAATGACGGTGCCTCGGAACCGCTGCAGAGCCTGGATGGCTCTTTGCTTCCAGCCCGCGTCACTCTGACACACAGAACCCGGAAGGAATCAGTCAGAGGGTTTGGGAAAGGTTTGTGCAACCTTATCTCGGATGCCCCCGGCAACCTGGGGCTTGGTCTGGGGCTCTTCAAAGCAGCGAACGAGCTCCTGCAGGCGAGGAAAGCTCGGGGCACTCGGAGCGGCTGGAGCCTGCCCGGCACCGTGGAGCTGACACCGGGACACGGCACAGTGAGGGCACCACGGGCATGAGAGAGCAGGGCTGGGGCTGAGCCAGCGGCTTGTGGGAACAGCGCAGGGAAGCTGCCGGAAGGTTTTAATCTTGATCCCGCAAAGCTCCTTTCTGTCCTTTAGACAAGGCAGGGATCACCGGGCTTTAGGGAAGCAGCGCTGGGAGGCGGGAGGGGAAAGGGGCAGCTGGGGGTGTTTTGGTTTGTGGTGGTTTGTGGTTTTCAATCGCAGCAGAGGAAATGCTCGAGTTTAATCAAGAAGGGGTTTAATCCTTGCTGAGAGCTGGGAAAGCAGGAGTCTGAACGCAGCCTCTAGAGCAGGGCAGCAAAAGCTGCTCCGTGTTCTCTTCTGTTTGTGCCCACAGAGCCAGCACATCACCCCTCTCCCCCTGTCCCTGGGGATTGATTCAGTGGTGTCCTGAGAGCTCAACCTGCCCTGACACATCATTGGACACGTTCCTATACGGCTCTCCTGTCCAGCCATGCTGCACTTTCTCTGGGACAGCATCTCCTTCCCTACACTCCTCATCTTCCTCATTGTCTTCCTGTTTGTTGCTGACTACATGAAGAACAGAAACCCAAAGAACTTCCCTCCCACCCCTTTACGCCTTCCCTTTTTAGGTCACATCTACATGATGGACTTCAAAGCTCCCCATATCACAGTGGAGAAGGTATGGGCATGGAGGGCACTGTGGGAGAAGGGACAGAGGGAACTGCACCTACAGGGAAGGGATTAAACCAGACCCCATGGGCCAGCAAGGCAGGCAGGAGGTTTGTCCTCACTGGTTTGCCTGGGTACAAGCTGGGGCACAAATGGGAGTGATCCCTGGGGCAAAGGGCACAACATGATCCAACAGTTGCCATCGCAGCTCTAGGAGCCCCCTAGGACTGAGTTGGGGGCTGGAGAGGTGCTTGGGAAGGGAGCACAACAAAACCTGGAAAAACACAGAACTGAAAAACTAAACCTGGAGAGGTTTACTTGATTTTTGGACAATTAACACCAACTCCTGATCAGTGACTTAGGAAAAGAGAAAACACTCTGCAATCAGGCAGAGATTTGTGCACAAATTCTGTGTCCCCTACCACTCTCAGCTTCCCTTATTTTTACCTGTGCCCTATGACAGAATTGTCCTGTGTCCTAACAGACACATTCACTTCAAATGAAATCCCCTTTACTTATTTCCCCTCCCAGTACACTAAAAATTATGGTGACATCTTCGGCATGTCCATGGGCAGCATGAAGCTTGTGGTAGTAAACAGGATGCGACTGATTAAGGAAGTGCTTGTAAACCAAGGAGAAGACTTCCTTGAGCGCCCAGAAATTCCTATGGATATGTTCAGCAAGATAGGTGAGTGATCCCTCAGGACATGCACCTCAGCTGGGAGGTCCAGGTGTTGGCCCTACAGAGGTCTGAGACAGATGGGGAGAAGGCAGAGCCCTGGAGCTTTTCTGCTCCCTGGGGATCGGCCTTGGCTCACAGGGGGCTCTTTCTGCCAGGACTGATCTCCTCCAGTGGGCACTTGTGGAAGGCACAGAGGAGGTTCACCTTGACCACCCTCCGAAACTTTGGCTTGGGGAAGAGGAGCGTGGAGGAACGCATCCAGGAGGAATGCCGATTCCTCGTGGATGCCATTAAGGATGAGCAGGGTGAGTGCCTCCCTCAGCAGCTGGACTGCAGGCAGGAACAGGCCTGTTATCATTGCACCCATGGTTCACTGCATGCTGGAAAATACCTCACCTTACAAGGGATGCTGCAGCCCCACCAGCGGCCCTGCTCCCTCCTGCAGGGGTCTGGCCTTCAAACTGCCTGGTGAGTGCAGGCAGGTAACACCCCACACATTGTTCATAGCCCACCTCCTGCCTCCTGCTCTCTGGGAGATCTCTGGGAAATACCATGTGTGTATAAACACTGATGTTCACAAGGAATTCCAGTGACATCAACAATGATATTTCCAATGAATTCCACTGACATCCCTCTCCTGCAGATCTTCCTTTTCAAAGGAAGAAAACATCTCCATAACCTGATAGAACTGGGACTACTGGGGTTTCCCAGACAAGCTTGGCCAGCTCATGGGGGCAGCGAGGTGTCCAAAGAAAGCAGTGACACAGGATGGTCACTGGGACCACTCATTTCATTTGTATTTTTGACCATTTTACCTTTACCAAGTGTGTTTTCTTCTCCTTTTCTGACAAGACCACAAGACAATTGATCTTTTCCTTCTCCAGGGAATCCTTTTGATCCTCAGTTTACACTCACTAACGCTGTTTCAAACGTCATCTGCTCCCTCACCCTCGGCAATCGGTTTGACTACCACGATGAGGACTTCCAAAACTTGCTGAAGCTGATGCATGAGACGGTTTTACTTCAGGGAGCTGTCACAGCCCAGGTACATCCGTCCTACCACCACCCCAAAGCCACAGTTTCTTCTCTGGAGTCATCCTCAGAGCTCAGTGTTGTCATCACCAAACCTGTCTTTGCTGATTCCTTTGCACAGGGTAGATTTGCCTGTAATTTCTTTTTGCCTCACTTTCAAGCTGAGCCTTGCTCATGCTGCTTTCTCTCACCCAACATCACTTTTCCTGCCCATTGACTGCCAACCTGCCTGCTATAGTACCTGGGAAGTCTTTCCTTCATGAGGGATTCCTGCTCCTCTGGAGATGAGCTATTTCCACCAACTCCAGCACTTCAGCAAGCACAGCATTTGTGTGTGCAGGATCCTCAATTTGGCTTTTTGAAGGGATTTTCAGTCCATTATTCAAGTTGTCTTTCTCCTTTTGTGTCCAAAGCTGTACAACTCTTTCCCATCTATAATGAAGTTCCTCCCTGGAGCACACCAAACCATTTCTAAAAACTGGAAGTGGCTGAAAAACTACATGCAAGAGCAGATCAACAAACACAAGGAGGATTGGAACCCTCGGAGAGCCGGGACTACATCGACAGCTACCTGCAGGAGATAGCCAAGGTCAGCAATGCAGAGCAAAGCCTTCTGCAGCAGGGCTTAGAAATGAGGAGGGATGAGAAACGAGCCCAAATTCTCCAGCTGAGCTGCCTGTGTGGCCATTTAGGAGCTTAGGATGCACATCAGGCTCTGGGCACCCATCAGTGGGATGGGATGGCAGGGGGTCAGCAGCTCCTGCCCAAATTCTTGTGTGGTTTGGACTAAGACTGGAGTCAGGACAGCCCTCACTGTTCCTGCAGCACTAACACACCTTTTTGTGAAGGACAAGGGCAGTGACACCTTCCGGGAGGAACATCTCGTCGCCTGCACCCTCGATCTAATGTTTGCTGGAACAGAGACCACTTCCTCAACCCTCCGCTGGGCTCTGCTGTTCATGGCCTTACATCCAGAAATTCAAGGTACAAGTAGCAAAAGGTCTGGGTTTCCCTTCCTTTTATCCCTCACAGCCTTGTGAGAGACACTTTTCTTGAGGGAAAAGTTGGGAATCTCCCTGCACTCACACAAAAATGTGCAAACAGGGGCAGGTGTCCCCTTAGGGGACCCTCCCAGCAACAACCTTGTGTTATTCCGAAGGGTTTTGTCCCTGGGCCTCAGCTGATTCCTGCTCTTTCCCACCAGCCCGCGTGCAAGCTGAGATCGACGCCGTCATCGGACAGGCACGGCAGCCAGTGCTGGAGGACAGGAACAACATGCCCTACACCAACGCCGTCATCCATGAGGTGCAGAGGAAAGCTAACATCGTCCCTTTGAGCATGCCAAGAGTTGCAGCAAAGGACACAACTCTGGATGGCTTCTTCATCCCAAAGGTAAGCTCATTCCTGAGCACTGGGACCTCAGGGAGACTCCCAGCTCCCCAGGCACAACTCACCAGGCCAGGTCCCTCCTGCACAGACACGCTGTCCCTGCCGTGTCCAGAGTTCACTCCTGCTGAATGTGGATTTTTGCCATCCAACCAACCAATATTAATTTAAACAAATAATTGCAGTAGAATTTGACTTTGCATGTTCTTCATGGAGAGAGTGCCCCTCCTGCTGTCAGTGCCACTGGAAGTGTGATCTATTTTTCTCCTCTTAGGGCACTGTTTTAACAACAAATATAACCTCTGTGATGTTTGACAAGAATGAGTGGGAAACCCCTGACAGTTTTAACCCTGGGCATTTCCTGAAGGATGGGAAGTTCTGGAAAAGGGAATGTTTTCTGGCATTCTCTATGGGTAAGTTTTGCAAAATTGTGCTAAGGCACTGGCCTTGGGTTTCCTACTGCATGATGGAGATGGAGAGGAAAAGAGTGATGGAAATGGCAGATGCACCCAGGAGATGCCGCTCCAAAAGTGGTCATCCCAAAGCACCACAGCCACACTCAGAGCCCACTCTTGTCTCTCTTTTTAAATGCAGAGAAGGGAGATGAGGATGAATAAAAATCCCTTGTAATTCCAGACACCCCAGGAACTCCTTCACCAGGGCAGAAGCATCACTCTGTGCTGCTGCTCCCACATGGCTGAGTTCACTGGGGCCTCACTGTTGCCACCCCAGGCTACCCCAGCCAGCAGCTTCCCTGGGGAGGTGGCTTTTAGCACCCCTGTTTCCCATGCCAGCATCACACACCTTCTCAGTTTGGGCTGCAAAACTCATCCTGGGAAGGGATCAGGGACCATGGTCCTAAGGGAAGGCAGAATCACTTCCATCAGCAAAAGCTCAGTCTGAGGATGCTGTGGGTTGCTGTCTCCGCAGGGAAGCGTGCCTGCCTGGGTGAGGTGCTGGCCCGCTCCGAGCTCTTCCTCTTCTTCACGTCTCTGCTCCAGAAATTCACCTTCCAGGCACCCCTGGACACCACGCTCAGCCTCCAGCCCGTGATGGGCATCACGATGGCCCCACAGCCCTACAAGATCTGTGCTGTGCCTCGGTAGGGAAGCCTTGGCTACCATCCTCACAGGGAAAATCCTTTGTCAGGAACGCTGAAAACAAGCTTTTGGCAGCTCCCTTGGGCTCGAGGGAGATGCAGGGCAGTTTGTTTCTTTTAAAGCAGTTGCTAAACAATTTCTTTTACATGTTGACCTTGTGCTCTGTTTGCCATGAGAAAGGTCATGAGCCTGGTAGGTGCCAGGCCCTATGGCACTTTAAATGGATCAGGGGTTTGGGACCTTCCTAATTACATGATGGATGGCCATAGTTCACCTTGGCAAAATGAGGGACACTTGAGAGATTGCAGTGTAGAGGCTGTGGCTGTGTAGAGTTGAAGAGCAATAGCAGCCCTTGTTTTATAACACTAATACAAGCAGTAATTCATCAACATTTTAAGGAAATGTACTCACAAAAAAAAAAAAAAAAAAGTCTCTAACACCTGTCTGATGCATCAATAAACGTTTACCAAAACATTTTTGGCATGAAGCATTCTGCAAAGTAAAGACCAACACAGGCCATGTCCAGCACTCGCTGTAGCCTTTGGGCTGCCCCACATTGGTGCAGCATTGCAGGAGGCTAGCACTGTAGCAGCAAAGCCAATTCCAATGAACTGATGGAAAAAAATGGCCCTGACAGCACAAGTAAACTAGAATTAGGATATTCAAAAATCCTTTTTACCTGCCCAGCATCACTAAGTGGCTGATGTGTCCAGGGGCGGAGGGGTGAGCGCCAGTAAAACATGATGCACTCAAGATTCTAATGGAATCCCTTGGAAAACACCAACAATAAATTACTATTTTAAACAATCACATGCAAGGTGAAACAGTCCCAAGATTCACAAGTGATGGTTAACACCAATGAACGCATTGACTGGGTCATGGTTGCACCACAGGACTCTGGTGAGGCCTCCAGGCATGAGAAGCTGCAGCTCCTGGGAGTGGGACCGGAGCTGCCTGGCAGGAAAGCAGCACAGCACTGGTAGCACACACCTCCAGTTCCTGCTCACCTGCTGAGGAAATGGGGAGAGAACAATCTTTTCCTGTTAATTTTCACTTTTCCCTGGAGTACTGTTCACGTGTTCCTAGAGGAAGCAAATTTCTCCCAAGTGAACACAGCTTCCGACAAGGCTCCATCAAGCACAGGGCTTGGTGGGGAGGTTCTGCCACCTTCTCTGATTTTCTGTGCCAGGTGGAAGCAAGAGGTTGGAGCAAGATGCTGTTTCTGGCACTCAAAGCTGTTTTGCAGATCCCTAAGGGGGAGACACGATAACACATGGTGGGACCCAAACCAATCCATTTATAAAGTGCAGGAGACTTGTCACATCCCACTTCTAGTGAGAACCCGGTCATTCCCAACCCCAGCTCTCAACACCTCCTCTCCCCATGCCAGCTGCCCTCCCACCTGCTGCTGGCACAGGGCTCCCACACCTTCCCTTGACAGCAGAAACAAAGTCTATTTGATTTTCTACATCTTACATCCTTTCTTTTCCTTTCTTGGGTAAAGCAGAAGGGGAAGGCTGGAAGTGGGCTGCGTGCCTGGAATTGACTGGGAACAGGGAAGGGGAGCAGTGACAAGTTTCTGCTGTGTGCAGCATTACTTTCAAAGCACTCCAAGTTCAGAGGTGTCATTTGACTGTTTTGTGGTACATTTCTTCCCCCAATGCTTGGCTCAGATATCCATTTCCTTTCCCAAGCTGCTGCTATATCCAAAAGCTTCCTCCCCTCCCCCACGCCTCTGTTGTACTCTGAGAGAAAAACACATCTCACAGGCTTCTTGAATATTTTGCCCCCTCCACCAAAACCATCTCCCACACAGAGTTACCTCAACTCCTTGTCTTTGCACTTGGGGCTTTATTCCTGCAGCTCTTCTCCAGGGACACCCCTCTCACAAACATACAAACCCTCTCACTGCAGCGCTTGGCTCTTCAGGAGCTGCCAGAAAAGCCATAAGTAAACAGGGTCAGGGCTGAGCACATCCTGCAGCTCAGCTCAGGCTTCCTGCACAGCTGAGTGCCTCCTCCCTTCCTTTCTCCCTCAGACACACACCTGCACATTTTGTTCTTCAGTGTCTGAAACTGCTTCTACATCCAGTCTCAGAAAGCAGGAAAAACAGTTCTTCTGCATCTGGTTGTTCACTTTGTGCTCACCAGGATTTCTGCCAGTGCAAAGGCCCTTCCGCACTGAGGCATCACAGGTCCTCGTCCTCAGGTCTTTCCTCTGGAGGGCTGAAGGCTGCCTGCTCTTTCCCACCATCACCTCTGCGTTGGGGTTGGAGCTCAGGGAACAAGAAAGCTGACAGTGAGACTGACAACGGAGCACACAAATCACCTGCAAAGCGGGCTGCAGAGGGCAGACAGTTTTCTGTTCCAAGTAACAGTGATTTAGAGAGGTACCTGCTCTGTGTCCTCTCAGGTGGAGCTGGCAACAGGCAGAGACCCTCCCCTCCTTCGGTAGCAAGTATGCAATTCCTGAAGTCACCTGACAGTTTATCTGTAGTAGGGTTTAGGCTTTTCACTTCCCAAGGGCCCTTGCCCAGCTCTGAGATGACTGACTGCAGGCTGAGCAGAGGGAACCAGCTTTGGGTGGGAGCAGAAATATAAGCAGAAAAGAACTGAGGAGGGAAAGGCAGCACAACTCATTACATCCATACCCTCATTATACACACTTTACACATCCTGGCACATGACATTTTAGATGGTATAAAAGTATCAACATGCTGACCCAGGTCATGTGCTGTCCAGAAATACAGATGCTTACATCAAAGAGGGACCATTAAATGCACTTCTTGAAATAAAGACACCAAAGAATTCATTTTAAAAATCTTTATGTGAATATAAAAGAACTCTTTCCAAAGAAAAAAAATAAAACCAAAAGTTTAAAAATTAGTGCAATTTTCAAGTTCTATGCAACACAGTGTTTACATTTGTTTTAAACAGAAGATGTAGACACCAGTACACTGAAACCTTAACTCTACCATTAGGGGAAGGGAAAAAAGAAACACATAAGAAAACTACTGTACTAGACATTACCAACTCCTAAACAATTGTTTTTCTTTTCTAATTTCTAATCTACATGGTTACCTAAATAGAACATCAGTATTGCTTATATTACTTATTTCCAAGTGTAGATCATATAAAATAAAATACCCATATATATATATATTTAATGAACCAAAAAAATCAGGTGAAAATTTTTTTTCAGTGAATGTTTCTTAATCCACTATAATAAAGTTGTTGCAAAAGAACCTTCTCAAAACTGCTGCCTGACCCATCTTGAGTAAAGGAACTCACTACTCCAGAATTTGTATTATTGCTATAAAACACTTCTCTTCCATAGTAATCTTATATAAAAAATAATTAACAAATGATACATCGATCAGAACATATTTGTTGTTTCTTTGGATCTATAATACCCGTTTTACTGGAAACTGGCTAAAATACTAATAATGCTGTTTAACTTCAGCAGTATTCAGTGATTTCACCTCATATTTGGATGTGCTCCTAACTGTGCTGATGGGAGGGTATGAATTCATCTTGCAGCAGAGACAAGTGGCCACTTTCTTTGCCCTGCCTCAGCAGTGGTGCACAAAAGGACATGTATTGACAGAGCTCTGCTACTGCATGTTGGGTACAACTCGGCTGTAACACAGCAATGGCATTAGTAGCTTTTTTGTTTGACATGAATGAAACAAACATTAAAGTTATACTCATTTAATGGCCCTTCCTGCACAGCCAGATGGGCTGAAGTGAATGCACCACCATGGCTTATAATCCAATATTTATTTCTAAAGATCAGTTCCTCATTCATAGGACGTAACCCGAGTTTTACCAGTTGTAGAACAGCTGCTTTTAAACAGGTTCTCAATCTCAAAGAAACCCTTAAGTTGTATTCACAGGCTTAACTTCTAACAGTTTGGAAAAGTCTCAAATAAACAACATTTCATCCAATATCTGAAAACCTGATTAATTCCTGGCAACCCCAACAAGACTATGGGGACAAATGTGCCCTGAAAAAGGCTGATCCCTGCCTGTAGTTTGGGATTGAAATTCTTCCATCACTAGTCAGAAGACAAACTTCCAATTAAATGATAGGGCGGTTCTTGCCTATTTTTGGTCCCAGGGTCTGCAGTTTTGAGAAGTGCAAGTCAAAGACATTTGCTCCAAGTTTGTCACTATTCAGCACCTGACAGACACTGACACAGCTCTACTACTGTGAGAAGTACAACAAATGCATCGAGCCTACAAACTAGATGAGTATTTGACGGACGTCCATGAAAGTTTCCATGCTGCAAAGAACGAGGGTTAAGAGACCCACTCAACACCATCAGTGACAGCTTCACATTTCACTACATCACACCACAGACCAGGCTTTAGGAATGTAAGCATCTTGCTAAGACTGAATCTCCTGCTCCACTGCTCACCACCAGCAGAGTGAACAAGCAACTGTATCCTAAAAACACAAACTCCACTAATATCACTGCAGCAATAAAAAACCTCAAAACCCAAGAGGTAGTCCAAGCATAGAGTCCCAAAGAACAGCACCAGACAGACAAAACTCTCCAACAGCCACTTGTCTGGCACGTTCTCTGCTCTCACAACATATGTAGCATGAGACTGGCTGTTAAACAATGCCTTTTGAAGGAGGAAATCTGTTGAATGCCTAAATGTACAGCAGTGTAAAATAACCACCACAACCAAGAAACAACTCTCAGTATTAGAAGTGAATACTTGCCTTTTCCCTGGCATTGCATGCAATGCCCAATAAAGGATTTAAGATGTTGGGGGAGGAAGAAATCAAAGGACGAGCCATAGTGAGAGGCATGTAAGATGAAAGACTACCCAGATTTCATAATTCAAGACTTCAATTCTGCAAAGCTGAATCCTGCTCTCAAATCAAAGATGGTGAGACAGGTGTGTTTTCATTCACAAATGTGGTTGAGTTTGATATTAGGTGATGCTCTAGTACACCACCCTCAAATACTTAGTTTAAGTGTATTCATTTTATTTTATGGGCTCCTGCAATTTTATTTCATTTAACTATGGGCATAATGAACTTGTTCTAGACAGTCTGCAAAGAAGAACAGACATTGGTAGGTTTCCTAAAAATACAATTCACAACAGAAATAAGACATTTGGAAAATAAAATGACAAATCTTGTGAAAGACAGCAACTTCCTGCACACCAATTTCAGATATCAATCCCCTTTTCATCTTCTATCACACTAGTATAGTTTATGCACTTCTCTCCCTGCCAACAGCTGTCAAAGCCATCTTTCATTCCTCTGCCTAGCACAGTCAGTTGAGAATAACTGACATGAAACTACATTTAAAAAAGGAAAATTAATTTCCATGCACAGGGTTGTATAAATAGTTTGAAATAAATGGGGCTCCTTCCCACCTAATCCCCTTTCTGCAAATAAATGCAGTGTTTGAATATGCCAGACTTTAAAATACAGCCCAGACTTTTGAATTATTATTATAGCTTTTCTCTTACACAAAAAAAGATAAGCTTTTTTGGCTTAAGTGAATTTAGCATCTTAAAAACAGGTTTTCTTTAGTGTGTATATGCACAAACTTAAGTTTTGTGTTTTTTTTAACTAAACTGAGTAATTCTGCTTCTCACAAAACAAATCCTGTCTTCTGTACTGGTACTATACCTTTATTTTCTTTTTCTATAAATGCAAGTATCTTCTTGCATTTAAAATTGTACTTTCTACTCTAAAAAAACTGTATTTTTTTAAACATGGTACCAATCTTTTAAATCTATTTTTAGAAGAGCCCAGCAAAAATGCCTAATATTGCCAGTTTCCTGAAGTAAATTTTTGCATAACATCTTCCCATTATAAAAGTCAACTTTCTAGCTCAAACCCATTAAATAAAGTTTTAAATATATAGTGCCAAATTTCATATTTACAATATAATCTGAAGGCAAATATAAATCTTTTAAGTTGTGCTTGTAAATAGGTACTGCACTTATCATATCTACTTGGAAAACTACATGCTACCTTCTACACACACCACTGATCGAATTAATCACTTCTTGATAGTTCTGATGTTGAATCTGCAGCTGCCCAGTTCTAACCTCCTCTTTCATCAAGTAAAGTGGAAGCTATAAAACATTTAAGGACACTTTAGCAGGTAAGTTTTCCTCAAGGTCCTTGTGGTTTAATCAGATGTTGCCCCTGGGACTTTAACAGTGAGATTCCTCCGGGTGGTGGTGACGTGACGTTGCTGAGCCAGGAAGGAGCGTCCAGGCCCGTCTTTGCAGGCACCACTGCTGCCAACCAGCCTTGCTTCCATACCCAGCTTCTGCAGAGTCAGGCTCTGCAAAAACAGTTAAACAACAACTTACATAATAGCAAAAACAGAAGGAAAAAACCCTGGCATCTTTCACACGTGAAGCTCATCTGCATTTCGTATGCACACAGGAACTCCCTTACTGGATTTCTCTGATTAACTAAAATGTAACTGTCACATTTAGCAAAATACGTTTTTCTGATACACCAACAAATGAACTTTTGACCCACCTTGTTATACCACGCAGTTACAATTAGCTTTTCCTCATAATCACGTAGTTTAGCCAGTTTGTATTCGTTCTTCAAGGAGACAAGAGGAAAGACAAGCCCAGTTAAAACACAAATTTTTTCTACATAAACTTACTGCAGCCCACTGAGTGGAGCAGAGGCAGCAGTAACACTTCAATATGCAAAATAACTAGAAAGCTTAGAAGTATAAATAAAGATACTTCCGTTAAAGACTGAGAGATAAATTAGACTACTTCAAAGAGGCTGAACTTCACACAAGTTGCAGTTAGAAACACAGAAACTACTTAGAAATACACCCTGAGGGTTTGTGTGGGGTGTATCAGAAAGTATATAAATAATTTAGTAATCTTTCCAGCTGAAGAGACAAGAATGTACTTCCACTGGCTGACTGTTCTTATCGTGTTCCTGAATTGCTATTACATAATATACTTAGTACATCTTGCATAAAAGCAATCTGAGGCCACAGCATTTATACAGTCAGACCTATCAGCCTACTCATTTGTGTTGAGAAATTCTGTATTTGCCCAGGTAACTATTTAACTAGTCCCATCAATACTGCTGTAAAACTGAATGCATTGCTCCAATTTCTCTGATATTTGGACTACTGTCAACAATCCTTTCAGAATTTCAGCCAAGCTGAGATCCTGAATCATTACTAAATCATTAGGAAACAGTATCTTGACTGTCTAACACCAGGACAGAACACACTACAAGTTATGATTAAATATATGTAAAATTTTTACCTCCAGTGCTTCAATTTTTTTGTCTTTCTCCAGTATCTGTTTTCTGAGCAACATAATTTCTGCTGATGCTGGATTTAGCTTGGGGTCTAAGGTTTTTATCACCTGAATAAAAGCAAAACAAAAGCATAACAACTCAGGTTTGATTCTCAACAACTCTGCACCTCATCTGCTCAGAGGAGGAATATGGAAACAGACTGGGCACTGGGCAGGGAATCATGATGAAAATTAGGCTGTTACACCGTTAACAGACCCCAAAGGGTACAAAGGAATCATTCATGTACCTCATGTTTAGCCTAAACCCCATTCTCTCATACACTTAACTGACTGCAGTTGAGCAATTTGATTAAAAAGACCATTTTTAATTGGGGGAAACACACACATTCAAATCCATCTGTTTAACAGTTTATGAGGGAGGAATGTCTGTGTTCAGAAATATGCCACTTACATTTCTTGCTTTCTCAAGGTACATTTTATATCTTTCTTCCATTGCTTTCATATCCTCATCTTTTTTTCGTAAAGCTGCTTCCAGCTCTCCAATCTTCTGGGCTATTTACAGAAATTACCAACAAAGACATACAAAATAAAAACAGACGTGGTACTTTCAAGGTTTCTGAGTTCTCTTGATTTCACCACTCTCCAAATAAACCTTCTGGTTACTACAGAGTTCTCTAAGTTATGATTTTTGTCTCAGTTGGCCCACCTGACCCTGAATTCCCATTTGGCAGAGTGCTGTGCAACAAAACAGCCCCCAGGATCCTCTCCCTGCCCATCAGAGGGCACAAAAAAAATTCCCTCCTTACACCCCATTTCACATTTAAAGCTAAGCTATAGCAGAAACCTCTATCCAGACAAGTATCCCATAGTCCAGTGGCTGTGGGAATGCTTTCAGAAGACATTTAACTTAGGCTTATTTAAAAAAAAAACCAACAAAACAAACAAGCCAAACCCCCCCCACAGAACAACTTACGGTTCTGACTGTCATCAGGCTGGAGCTCTGCAAGATCAGCCTCTTTCTTCTGCAACTCATCATGAACTTCATTCAACTTTTCCCTATGAACGAAAGGCTGGACTAAGGACTAAACTCACAAATAATTCCATGCAGTTTTAAGAGTTGAAAGCTGAAACTTGATGGCAGAGGTGCTTAAATAACTATTTTAAGCTCTGGTAATTCTTCTGAATTTAAGTAGAAACATTAGTATGTGTTTTTGTAGAACCATTAAAGTTGTGACTCCTGAATTGAGTCTCATTTACCTTAAACTAGGAAAAAATGAATAATTAAACCCCTTCAGCAGAGGGTACTCAGCAGGATGGAAGCATTCCAGAAGAATGGAATATATTTTGAGACCAGTAACAGTGATGGTTTTAGTAGTTTGCTGTAGAATCAGAACATTTTAAAATGCTGGTGGCGGTTATGACAGTTAAGTGGTACTGGTATTACCAGATCATCATGATCAGAGTAGACAAAACCAGAACACCAACACTTTGCTCACTTTATGCAGAATTCTCAAACCAGTGGCTTAGAAAAACAAGACAGCCCTGCAAAGATTTAAGCAGTTTCTGTGCTACATTTAGCATAAATAAGCTGTTGTTGATGCATGTGCCTTACTTACATGTGTGCTGCCAACTTCTGCTTCAGGTTGCTGGACTACAAATGGAGAGAGTTAAAATTCAGTTATATTTCAGTATTTCATTCCATGCAACATTAAAGTGCTCTAACAAATCAGCCAAGACTATTTGGCACAGCTAAGTCAAAGCAAATAAATACTAAGGAAACTGCATTTCTGTAACTACTTTCATATTTTTTTGCATTGCACAGAAATCAATTCCAGCATCCTTTTCTTTAAAGCTCTCCCTCTCATTATACCACTATTGACTGATAAAATTAAACGTAGAAGGTAGAAGAGTTACAGTTCCTTAATGAAGGTGAAGGAAAGGAATCACACAATATATGAGATTTTCAATTTAAATACAGTTGGTGTGGGCTGTTTTTCAGACACACTGAAAAATAAGCTGCACATCTAAACAAAGGACTTGATTTACACTGAAGGACTTAATAAAAACAAAACAAAACAAAACTGGTATGTTGTGTTCAAGGCCAAAAAGCCTGAACTTCTACTTACTCCTTCAGTCTTGGATCCCTGCTCCTGCAAAGTCTTTTGCAGATCTTCAATCTGCTGCTGTAATCCCCCAATACGCTCTTCATTCAGCCTTTCAGGAAGAAAAGACCGTTACTGGTTATCTAAATAAATCATAGACAAATTTTTCTGTTTCATGTCTGGATAACAGTTTTTCAGAGGGCCTACCCAGCAGGACTTAAGCCACAAAGAAACTGATTTTCAGTTTGACTTGAACTTCTGCTGAAACAACCACATGGAGCTTTAATGAACATTTTATCGTGAAATACCTAGAATAATTTTAAGTTTTGAGAGACCTTAATTACCAAGAATTCTCATATTCTAATAAACTGCTTTCAGCATTAATTGATAGAGAAATTTAGACCTTATCCCATGGTCTAACAGTTTGAAGTTCTAGAAACGGAGTTTATATCCATTCTTGGTCTACTTCCAAAAATCATTCAGAACTAAGAAAAGTGTCCTTAAAAGCAACACCTCATTTATGGCTACAGTGGTGAAAGAAAAGGTACCTGGCTTCCTACACTACAGATGCAGGCCACAAGGCCACTCTGAAATTCCAGAAATCACTTTTTACTGTGTTTAAAGATGTAGTTTCACCTTTTCTCAGTTTCCAGTTCATTCACTGTCCGGTGCTTCTGCTCCAGCTGTTCCTGGAGCTCTGCAATACGCTCATTTTCTGACCCTTCCTGTTTCAACAGGAGCATCTTATTTTCATGCTGCAGCCGAATAAACATTTCTCTGAATCAAAAAACAAACAAACAAACAACAAAAAAGTCACTGTTAATTCAGAAGGTGAAGAGGAAGAAGTAATATTCCTGTTCGCTCTCCCAACCTTAAAGTGTGTAAATCAAGTTCTGCTTAATGATATAACTGGAGTAACAATGCAATTTTTTATTAAAAATTAATTTAAAATATTGTGACACTTGCAAATTGTCAGAGATATGAGCAAAGTTTTAAATTGTCACTCCAAACCCAGATTTATATACAGCAATCTGATATGCTTTTAAGAAAGAAATTAATTGTAGTATGAGAAAATAATACTTAACAGCTACATGGGGGTCTGAATAAGCACCACGGAGGTAAAGCAGGAACTGGGATACAGTCATGAACCTTCCCAAAGGCAGCATCAAGCCCCAACCATGAACATCCCAAAACAACCTCTACCTTTTTGTCTCACCTGTATTCCACTGGCAGAATTTCAGCAGCAAGATTCTCATGGCTTTTAACACGAGATCCACCTGAAATCACATGGGAAGTTTCATTTAATACACTCAAAGAAATCTCTAATACAAATAAAAATGCTTCTGAAGGTACAGCAATACCTGTTTGACTCAGGTGATCCTGCTGCATCTGTGAACACCGGAGCTCTTCATTTGTCTCTTTTAATGCATCACACTGCACTATCAGTCTCTAACAAGACAGATTTGAGGTGGAATTAAGTCAAACTGCTCCATTTTAAGAGCAAGTAACAATAAGCAGGAATAATACTGACACATGCATATTTTAGGTTGGACTTGATGACCTTGGAGGTCTTTTCCAACCTGGATGCTTTTATGATTCTTTATTATATGTGTATACACACACAATTTTTATGAAGACACTAATTCCAAGAAGATTTTCCTCCAGCAGAGCATTTGAGAGAGATATTAGGTGCTCAAATAAACTCCCTTAGAGAGACTTACCTCTTTTTCTTTGATTAAAGCTTCATGTTTTTCTTCAAGTCTCTTCATTTCAAATGCCAGCTTATCAGCTCTTTTGGATTCTTCAGATAGTTTGTTATGAAGCTCTTGGACCTTTTCATAAAAACATTGTATGAATACTCCAAGACGCTACTTCTAAAAGCTACATTAAAACAGTCACTCCTGTCCAGTTCAGCCAAAATAAAACAGCTGGTCCCTCAAGCTTAGGGAAGGAAGATGGGACAGGAGCCTGTGTGCTTTGAGGTTTTTTTTTGTTGTTGTTGTTGATTGGTTTGGGGTTTCTTTTTATATTTAACTCTTCTAATTACTACTGAAATTAAAATAAAACTACAGTTTAAAATACATTTCCATGAAGAAATATAAGAATATAGGCATGTAGTGACAGGACAAGGGGGAATGGGTTCAGATTGTAAAGAGAGAAAATTTAGGTTAGATATATGGATGAAATTTTTCCCTGTGAGGGTGGTGAGGCCCTGGCACAGGTTGCCCAGAGAAGCTGTGGCTGCCCCATCCCTGGAAGTGTCCAAGGCCAGGTTGGATGAGGCTTGGAGCAACCTGGGATAGTGGAAGGTGTCCCTGCCCATGGCAGAGGGGTTGAAACTAAGATGATCTTGAAGGCCCCTTCCAACCCAAGCCATTCTGTGATTCCATACAAGTAATCTCAGTGACAGCTGAACAACCTCTCCCAGAAGAGAGTAAAAAAGAAAAGCAAACCACAGACTCTCACATGAGTTGAGAGGGCAAACACAGTTAAGCTTGCCAGTTTAACAAACAGGGAAAACCCCAGAAGTGAATGGCAGGTATGAAGGAGTTTTCACAAATAAGAAATTCTAAGGGGATGACGCAGGTTAAGCCCATGGGCTGTTACACGAAGCTGTTCCCAAGTATCTGAGGAAAAATTAATGTTTCCAGTGTAAGCGTGGCCTCACCTGTCGTTTGTAGGTCTCCAGCTGGGCTCGTGCTGCGTTGGCTTTCTTGAGCTCATCCTCCAGGCTGACTGTGTTGTGCATGTACATCATGTTGGTCTCCTGCAGCGACTTGACCTGCCTGCGGAAGTCGTTCAGATCCTGCAGCTTCTTCCGATACACTTCCACAGTTGATTCCAGCTTACTTGCCTTGTCTGCAGTAGCCCTTAAAGTATGAACAGGAATTAGAACACAGAGTATGTTTCTTCAAAAGGTTACCAAAGCCCAACTGTGCTGTCCTGAGCATTCAAGCTGTTCTCAAAGAGAGATGCAACATGCTTAGCAGGAGTTACATCTTACTGCTCTATTTTTAAATGTATAATCAATGTAAACTTGCTCATAAAAATTGAAATCAGCACAGGGTTTAAGTGGGAGTAAGAGTGACAGTTGGATGCAAGAAGTACGAGCAAGGGTTAGTGTGTCAAACACCCCTAGGGAATTCTGTGGGGTGCAGTGTAAATGTACCACATCCCGTGGTAGATAATCATCTCAGAGTGCTGGTACCTGGGAAGGAAAACCACACACGTGTTCTCACTGTGGGATTAAACACAATGAGAACATAATTGCACTATGAGAATGATCATTAGCAGATATGACCAAGAATGATCAGCTTATCATTAACCAAAATCCACATATTAAGAAAATACTGGAATCATAAATTTCAAACTAATTTTAATATCTGTGTTTAATACCTGCATTCTCATATCATTAAAAACTGGTACAAGAAAATTATGGAAAAAATCTATAGTTAAGATTTGTTTCAGATGTTATTTAAGAACCACTGTAAGTTAAGCCCCTGAAACCACTTTTTTTTCCCATGTTTCATTGATACTATTTTATGCATACCAGACCTGCTTTCACAGTGTGATTTCTTGGGTGGTCTGGTATTTTACACAGTTTACACAAGCTGGAATGTTACCTTAAATTCTCATGAAGGTTATTTCATATTTCATCACCATTTTGTTCGTGATATCAGTAACCTACATCTGGTCTAGAATGATGACACCAAAATTGTGTCAAAGTTCTAGCTGTAGATATGCTTTTCTACGTTAGAACTTCAACTTTCCATTCCATATGAAAAGCTTCCCATCCTGTAAGTTCTATAGTCATTAATTCTGCTTCACAGAGAAATTCCATGTGTTACTCTTGTCAAACAACAGAGGTTTGCCTGAAACTTCCACTTCATCTCTGCTTTGTCAAAGATCTCACGCAGGTAAGATCTGCAGAAGTAACACCTCAAAAAAATCTTGTTAAATACAAAGCCTTGGATTTAGTCATTAAATCCTCCTAATATATGTGTGTGTGTGTGAGTGTGTGTGTGTGTGAAGTTCCCCCTACTACATACCTAAGAATATCATTTTCATCTTTCAAGGCTCTGGATTCTTCTGCCAGGGAGGTCAGTTCATTGTTTCTATGTTGCAGTTCAATCAGTTGTTTTTCTAGATCTTCACAATGGACACGATAATCATCTTTTGCAGCTTCAAGCCTACCAGATCAAAACCCGGAACTCTGTCAGGAACATTTTGTTATTACACAGTTCTCATTTAGTGCTAGAATTACTAAAAATAAGACCAAGGAAAACTATTAAGTCACCAGAAAAATGGTACTGTAAACAGGGAACCTTTTACTGTCTACCTGTTAAATCATAATGGATTGTTTACCACAAATCTACCACACCAGTATCAAGGGATCACATGAAAAGTGATTTTTCCCCCACTGTGTACCACAGAGAGAATGACTAATATGTGAAAGAAAAGACTACAGTAAAGAGATATGATGGTCTTAGGGGGGTAGGGTTTGTTTTGTTTACACACAAATCACTTCAACACTTATTTTCTGCCTTCCTTCCCCTTATTTGAAGTATCAGAGGGCTACGCCAATTACGAAGTAATATTTTTTACAAGTGACGGTGTCTTTTTAAATATAAGGACTGTCTTTAAAATACGCTTATACAGCACTAGAAAGCTTTTAATGCAAAAGAAATTGAGATGGAAAATCCCAGAAGAGTACAGAAATTCTCAGGATATATTAGACAAGTGAGGGATTCTTGAAGGAAATAATTTAATACCTGAAGTTTTCTTCTTGCAATTGTTCCAGCTGCAACTGTGCACTAAAATACTTTTTTGCAACCACAGTATTTGGATCATCAAGAGAGTCGTCTAATTGCTCTAGTCTGTCATTCATAATCTCATTTTCTGACATCAAGCTGTTTTTTTCATCCTGGAGAGCAGCTACCTGGTACGGATAAAACAGCATCAACACTGTAAGACCTGTCCAAAGAACTACAGCAAGGCAGCAGGACGTCACCAAATTAGTTTATGAAAAAGGCTGAGCGTTTAAAAATTTTAGAATGTAGCTTTACAGAGCACACTTGAGCATACAGATGCTTTAGTGTATGACAGTTATGAAGCACTGAAGGAAAAGTCCCTCTGAAAAAAAAAAAAAAAAAGACAATTTTTTGTAACTGAAACCACGGTAAAGGCACACAAAGTGATATGGAGAGGAACTGGTACTTCGATTAAAAACACCACGGACGTCGTACAAAAAACTCCAAAACTGGTGCAAAGGTTACTCTCCATCTTGCTTGTACTGGACAATAAGCAGCAGGATGGCATGGCCAGCACACCCAGGGACTGCCGTGCTCAGCAGTGAATGGCTGCGCGTTCGGAAGCGGTTTCAGGCGCCGTAAGCACACACGCAAAAGAAAACCTGGCCAGCTTCAGAGAGAGCATGCACTGGGCAACAGTCAGGTACTGGGTGCTCACAGCTAAGCAAATGAGGATACAACACTTCACTGGAAGTATATTAACAGCCATAAAACGGGGAAGGATTAAGAGGATAGAACCTTTAAAGTTTTTCTAGTGAAAGCTGTTGTGTTAATTTTAACATCCTGTCAAACACAAGAGCACGTAGCATGTGTTAGTCAACTGGCATTTAAACAGGGACAATATGCTTTTTGGGTTATGTTTTCCTGAATCAGAAAGTAAACCTACCTTTCTTACACTCTTGGAAAATATCAAGGAAGACTGAGACCTTACAAGTGAATTTATTAAGAATTAGTTTAAATAAGAAGCGTCAGTCAATATCACGGCTTCAAATAAACAAAATTAAAAAACCATATCATGATATTACAAAACAGAGACAGTCTAGAGTATGCAATATTAAGAAACAATTTGTGATCATAATTTTGAAGTCTATCAGTCAAACAGATATAAAAGCAAAAAGTAATTAATCTACCACTTCATTAAGTGCTGGCTTTCTGGGTTCACTCCTTTTTACAAACCAGATGTCATTTACTATTTACATGCACACAAACATCTGTGAGTAGTGAGTGTATCTGAGCCTTGCTCAGCAAAACACTCCATGTTCAAGGTTCAGCCACTCCTTAAGCATGTACAACATTCAGACTTTAGGAATAACATTAAGACATCTCCCATCTCAGACTTAAAAAAACCTAAAAATCAAACTATGGCACAACTCAGAGCAAGTTTTACATATTTTCTCAGTTGCTTTCTGATAGTTTTCTCTTTTATTATTTCAGCATAACAGAAATGGTGTCAAAGTGACAGATTATAAAGAGATATTTTAAACACAGTATTACAGTGCGGTGTCATTAACTCCTCTGTTTATAGTCAGCAGTACCTTTTCCTCAAACACCTTTCACCTGTTCCATACTATGTTATGAGCAACTGGCTTTGCATAACCTATGATTAATTAATTAATAGACAAATATGGAAAGACAAGTCTGTGGGAGACAGGTGAAAGACTGGGACTTCTCCTGCAGATTCTGGTCACTTTTCTATCTCTGTTTCCACAAGGAAGCCTTACTGCTGCCTCAAGAAAAAAGAAAATTAAATATCAATTCCATTGTAACACTAAGCTTCCTGGGCACGGCAACCAGCTCTGAGCCACTTCATATACAAGTATTCAACTTTTTCAGTTGTCACTGCCTGTAAGAACCGTAAAACTGGCCTCTTGCTTTTGTGGGTGTTCATTTTCAGATGCTCACACAGCCAGTACAGCCTCTGCCTCCCCTAAGAAGCTGCAACCCAAATGTTCTCTTTGTGCAGAGCCAAATTTGAGATGAAGTGCCTTTCTAGATAAAACTCTTTCTATTCTCAGATTATTGTGCCATAAAAGAGGAATCACACTTAAGGGTAACAAATGGATTCTTCTTTTCTTTAAAAAGTTGATTGAAATGCAAATTTCTCTTTGTTGTTATGAAGTCCTCTCTACTTTTTCTCAAGAGTGACTTGATTAACTGCTATATCCATTAAAACCAAAAATAGTCCTATTATTAGTGTGGTTTGGAAACGTCAGCAAGGATCTATTAGTTTCCATTATTTTATCCTGTAGTTCCTCCATGTTACAATTGTGCATGAGAAAAAGTTAGCAAATTTTAGATAAATTTCAAAATTTAGTCATTCATCAACTCCTATTCAAACAGCATCATTTTCCTGTGATTAGATCTAATCACCGATTATTACATGAACTGGACTTTTTGGACACAGTACAAAAGACTAGAGGAAGCAGTGATTAAAAATGAAAAGGGCAATTTTTACAACCGTGAGAACATTGTTTTAACACTACCTGCTACTAAAGGTAAACAAAGCTAAGAGATAAAGAACCTCTGAGGTAACAGCTGGCACAGGGCCTCAGCCTACACTTCCATTGGAAAACATTCCCCAGTAATTGCATTTTGGAGTACAGAGTGATTGCTTTTCCCTCACAAGAATTCTCACAGAAATCTAAATAATGCAAAATTCACTTTGCTTTTCACTTCTGCATCTTAATAGCAGCACCATTACATATAAAGAAACAAGCAACTTGCTGTTTCTTACCTGCAAATCAAGCTCTTGACATCTTTGTGCCAACTCCTCTTTTTCTGCCAGTGCTTCCTGAAGATCCTCCAAGGCTCTTTTAAGCTTTCAAAAAGTAAGACAGTCAATCACTGTGGCCCATATCCAAAGTACTCACAGTTGTAGCTTACAAAACAACTTAACTGCTTATATGAACTGTTTAAGAAGGATGTCAGGTGCACACACTGACACAGAAACCTATATATACAGTTACATCAGGATCCCTGCTCATTTCTCTTGTCTTCTCAATGACTGCCACATGTAACAAGTAAATTATTGAAACACAGCAAACACAGCAACTTGGGCTAAAGGCAGGAGCATTCATGTGGTCACAATTTCAAAATCCCTGCCTGTTAAAGAAATGCCTGCCCTTCATCTTAGAATAGACATACTGATGCTCCTTTATGAGCAGCTACTTGTAATGACAAGTTTCATTTTATATGTAACTTGTAGTGTTAAGGTTATCAAGACTTTTCATGACCCCTCAAAAATAACCTGAAGTGTTCAGCCTGGCATGGATGAGCCTTGATGTACCCTCACCTCTTCTGGCACTGAGCAGTTTTACCCCACCCAGGAAGATGACACAGCAGGCAATGATTTTTTTAGAAGAAGCTATAGAACAGTAGATGACTTTTTATTTAATTAGCACTGAAAAACAACATTACTTCACTTAAAGGATGGCAAGAAACTAACTTATTGTTCAGGCTTGACCTACAACAGTAACAAGTATTAGGCAGTTACCTGCTGTTCCATTTCACTTGATGCATCACAGGTGAAAGGACTCGTTACTTCCTTGCTCATGAGCTACAGGAAGAGGCCACAAGAAAAAAGGTTAAGTTAGGGTTAAATATCTGTAAATTCACTGCCTACTGAGTACCAGTTGTATTTTCCACTGTATCACTGCATTCCTTCAATATGTCAAATTAGATTAATAGTAATAAAACCGACCTCACGATTGGTAAAGGATTTAAACAAATCTAGAATAAGATTTTTTACCTATCCCTCCCTTCCCCCCCTCAAAAAAACACACACAAAAAAAGAAGTTGGCAGTAATATCTTATTGGATAAATCTGTGATCTGTTGAAGTTATTTCTATTCCCTAATCAAGTTAAAATGGAGTGAACCAGAGGACAGGATTTCAGTCAATTAAATTAATAGTTAGTTATCACACTTCTTTGTGCCCTGTTAATTGCCACTAAGCAAACAATGGGAACATCAACACTGCTCTCACTGATCTCCAGTACAAAGAGGTACGCAGTTTATCTGTCAACAATTACTCAGGAATTACTGTATTATTTCTGGACCTTCTTCAGAAAGTTTAGTTAATCATAAGACAACAAACAAGAGGTTTATGGATTTCTTTCTACCAATAGGAACCCTGCAGCTTTAAAGACTATCCAGTCAATTTGAATCTGAGTTTTAAAGCCTAGTACGAACTCCACTCATATCCTGATGAGGCTGCAGTTACACACACCACCTCTTCTTCAAAGTCGGTATTTAGTTTTTGCCTCTCTCTATGCTCTGCTTCAATCCTTAAGCTTACAAATGTGAGTGACTGCAGAGCTAAGCCATGAGCTGGATCTCCAAGATGATCCAACCAAGAACAAATTACAGCAAGAGAAGGAGCACAACATGACAAGAATGGAAGAGATGCAGCTGCAAGCTTGTAAGTCAGAGGCTGGAATGGTCCTTCCATAACAATGCAGCCTCACAGACACAATCAGCTTAATTCTGGGACCAAGACTATAAAACTGGGACATTTCAGAACCTGACTCCAGTATAATCAGTGGTTAGGAACTATATACATTTCTTGTGTGGAATGAAACATCTTAAGCATTTGTTGTATGTTTGGGCACATGAGACTAAAATCAAAACCCCTTGGTTGCAATCTGGGGCCTCTTGGTCCTGAACATCCCAAATAATTTAGGAAAGTACTTACACTCTTCCCTGTAAATCCTTTCATTCAAGCAAAGGTCAAAGATAACAAATAGATATTTGGACTTCTCAACTGAGAGCATTAGGCTGTGAACTATTACCTACCTCTTGAATGGCTGTCATGACAACATGCTGAACAGACTCTTCAAGGGTCATGATATTTTGTATGTGCTCTGTGAAAAACAATTTGCAGTGACTCATGACCACGTTCATCTTAACAGCTTGAGTAACATGATAAACTGGGAGTAGGAAAGATCCAGAAGAAACTACTATCCATAAAGCCCCTTCAGAACAGGGAGTGGTCTTTCTATACACAGGACCAGTGTTAGCCAACAGCATTATTATTCAGTAACATGGTATAAACACAAGAGATTATAAACTCTTAACTGGACAAATTAATACTCTGCATAACAGAGTAAGGAGCAATGCCATCAGAGCATGGAGCACTAGCTCGGGTATGAGGAGAGAAAATAACCAATTCAATTTTGAGCCTCTGCAGACAACTGCCAAGAGGCAGTTCCTAACGTAACTTTTTGATTTAATTTGTTAGATTTGCATTTGAATAGTAAGTTTTTGGTCTTGTTACATATTTTAATAGGTACAAGTAATCCTCAAATGCTTCAGATTATTTTTTTAAACCTACTTGAACAAAGTTTTGAGTTTTATCCAAAGAAGTTTCCCACAGATTTCCTTTTAAGTGAACTCCAGTTTCAGAATAGGCATGTAATGTATTAAGAACAGAGATTTTCTGACACAAAAAAAGTTTCTACATCTCTTCCACCTTCACAATCACTTGTCAAAGTCTGCTGATTGTTGAACAGGTTACGGTAGTGCCTACCTTGTTTCCTCTCACAATTGACTGCACAACCTAAAATAAGCTGCAGAAGCCTGCCCAGTTCAGTGGGATCTGAGTTCTCAGATATCTGATTTAAGTCTGGAATAAGCTCTTCTGAAATCTGCTGACCCAAGAACTGAAAAAAACAAACAAACAAAAAATTAAGAGAGAAAGCAGACTCCCACTTTTGTACAACATAAAGATCTTTATGTAAGAAATCTGGACTCAGGGAACCATGCAGGGAAAATGATCCAGGAGGATTTGCACCTGGTGAATATCATAAAACCTAGACTGGGTTGCTGAGTCTGTTCTGTTGTGTACAAAAGGATTAAAGCTTCTGTAGACTCGAGCAAACATGAATGCACAGACTAAAGTCAACAGGATTCTACAGCTCAGTCCTTATGACATTTACCTGGGCAGAGACATGGTTTCCAGATTATACTCCAGGAGTTTTATTTAAAATACATCTGCTCAAATTAATTTCATATTCACTCAGGCCTCCCACTTAGCAGATAATCAACATACACTTTCTGCCAAAAAAGTCCTCAAGATAAATTCATTTTCCAAGAAATAAAAAAGCTTGGTGAAGCAATAATCCATACCTCATGGTAGTAGTCCATAATTCCTTGCAGTATCTTCTTCAGATTACTGGACTAATTGTTGTGCATGAAAGACAAGGTTACAAGATTTAATTAAAATTTTTTATTTTGATGAAATATCCCAACAGAAAATCCCCACATAACAATGCTGGGAGGCACTTAAAACTATCAACAGACAGTTCAGGTTCATTTAAAATAGGCTTGGAAAGCCTGAGCTTAATTTTGTAGGTTTTGAACTGCTAGATCTCAGGACAGCCACAACATCCAACCCCATAAATTTCACTGTCTTCAGTTTTAAATACCTTTATTCTCCAGTTGTCACCAACATCATCTTTAATGCGATTTAGCCAAGAGGCATCAAACCAAGCAACATCTCTGAAACAAAATTAAATGATTATTTGATAAGCACAGACTTAAATAAGACAGCAAATTCCCAGCATTAAATCATCAGGTGTTGAACTACAGTGTCTAATGAGGCATGAATTCCTGGAGATTGCAAGGTAAACTTATATTACAGGAAATTCCCATCCTGCTGGCTGCATTAAGACAACTTCCAGGGCTGGGAGAATTTCCATGTGTGCTTGAGCTAGGAACAGCTAGAACACAAGGATGTGCAGATCTCTGCCATGCTGAATTTTTATACCCGATAAAGTGATTGGAATGATGATCCCCTTTTGACTAGTGTTGATATTAAGTTTGGTAACTATTCCTGCAGATTGAACTTTCTAACATTCATTACAAATTGCCAAAGGCACTTACTAAGAAAACAGTTTGAACTACTGGCATTTTGTATTTTTTGTGTCTTTGGTTTCCCAGGGCAGAAATCTTTTCGCTTTGCCAGCATAAATAAAGATGAGTTGCTGTAAGAGGTGTTTATACACACCGAGCTGCCAACCAGCACAATCACAGCATATTTAACAATATATTAACTTTCAAAACGTCCTGTTTATTCACTGGTCTCAAAGCACCTAATGAAGGACAATTATTATCCCAACTTGCACATGAACCAACTTGGCTGTGCAGAGGTCTGACCAGAGCCTGTGGCAACCCAGTACCCCAAACACATGAGAAGCAAATCCTAAATCGATTTTTGTCATGTTCCAGGAAAAACGTGATTTCTCTCTTTACACACCACCTTTTAAATCTTTACAAGCAGACAGGAGGGCTTCCAAGCTCAGGAGGGGTTTTTTGGGCAGTGGGGGTTTGTCCTGGTGGTTAAGTAACTTCTTAATAACCAAAATTACAATTTGAGCAGGAGATGGTAATGCAGACTTCTCTTTAACTATCTAAGCCAAAAACAAGTGTTGATGGGAAAAGCAAAAAGATCATGTCATTCTTGCCTACTTATTCTTAAGTATGAATTTATTACTGCAGTATAAATATATATATTTATATATAAAAACATACACATATATATATTCTCATCACCTTCTCCATTATGTTATTATTGAACTGTTATATCACCACCAAAACAGCAAAACAAAGGCATATTCTATCTTCTGCTATAAACTGCCCACTCCGAGTTTCTGCCTACTTTAAAAGCAACTACCTGTGTCAGACACAAAAACCTCAAGGAATTAAATACCTCTTCTTCAAACTGGAGAATCAACTTACATTTGGTGAAGCACCTGTGCCATGGCAACCCCATTAGTCAGGTCCTGAACATCTCTGCAAGGCGCAGCAGTATTGAAGGTCTGCAGCTAAAGCGGGGAAAAACACCGTGTTTCTCATTCAGCAGACAAAAGAACAGGAGATTAGTTACCACTTTCCTTTTCATCTTTAACTTAAAGATGTCTTTTCACTTGAGGCAGCTGAAATCCTTTTTGGACTATGCAGTTTTTAAGCCAACCCAATTATCTCAACACTTCTGACTGTTATGACTAGTAGCTTAAAAAGTTAGTACAACCACCCACGCTTTGCTTTTTCATGCCAGACCTTCTATTGTAAATCAAATTACGGAATGATAACTTGGGAAACTACAGTTGTATTTATCCATCCCTCCAATTACGTTGTAGTGCTTAGTTCTGGCCATAACTACCTAAACCAAAAATGGCATTAGAATAAGGTATGAAATTTGCGGGAGAAAAAAAAAAAAATTCCAGTCTTTTAGTACAAGAACTTAGTAATAGAAGTAGGATGGGATTACCTCAATGTTAAAAATGTTTCTCCATTTTAGATATTTTGGGGGGTTTTAAAGCTATCCCTAAGCTTATACCTAACACTTTGACAGAATTAACTGTATATTTAGAGTTGCAATATTTTATTCCTCCATAGTCAGAACTAACTATTCTAGGTGAGGGAGCCACTTCCATACACATGTCAGTTCACCACAGGAAAAAAAGAACCTTCTTTACCACTGTGAACGAAATAGAAAGTTTGCAGTTAGTACTGCTAAAAGATGTGTATGTGAAATGGAATTGGAGCAAGTACAGGTCCTTATAATCTCTGTCCACTGCAGAAATTGTAAATGTAATAGGTTTAAGAAGTCAGTGTCCTGAATTACCTTCCATCTGCGAGAGGGCTTTCCCAAACGTTCTGTGAAACACAAGCTTCTTCAGAACACACTGGTGAATGACCTTGTGTTTGGGAATTGGAGCTACTTGGACCAGAGTGATGGAAAAGCAGTTTCCAGCTGTGAGAATCTGAGGCAGTTTTTGTCCAGTCTGTGTTTACAAAGAGTGACCACAAATCTGAATATTTGCTTGCTTCAAAAACAGCCGAATCATGCCAAGAGAAAAATATGCAGAGCAAGGGTTTGTTTTTGTTATTTTTTTCTCCATTTGTTTTTCAATTGAAAAAGCAGTTAAAAATCTTGCATTACGGGAAGTGAGAAGTCAGTAATCCCTTGCAGGTTACATAAAAGATTAAGTGGAACACCACAACCCAAAGCTGCTGTGACTGACAGCCCTGGTTTCTATTACTCCAGCAGCCTCCACACCAACACAGGCACGGGCACCACTACGAGCCAAGGCTGAGCTTCCCAGAACCCCCAGAATTCCCAGCACAGAACTGTGATGCTGCCCCGTGGATACACCCCACTGTAAACCAAGGAAATTGCTAAGCACAGGTACCACCATTTCACCTGAACCTGTTAAGCAAAGCCTTAGAAAACCCCACGACAGGCAACGCTGCTTTATGCAGAATCTCCCAGAATAGAAGCAGCTAATTAAAATTAATTATAAAGCAGGACTGACAGTCTGTTTCTTTATATATTTAAAAGTCACATAAGGGCCTAGAAATAATATGAGAGTAGAAGAATTAATTACGGGTTCTCCAAACCTCATGCCAACCCAATCATTTCCTCAAAATGGATTTTTAATGTTCTAGCAAACCCCATGAAAGCAGCAGGCATGGGGAGGAGGTTGGCAGAAGCAGCCACAGACTTCAGGGCTGTAGCAGTGCTCTATTTTTTTTTTAGTTTTACTAAATATAGCTTCAAGGACATGCTACTCACACTGAAAACCATTCTGTGAGTTCCAACCCAAATGCACCCTGCCACTACAGGAGAAGCAAGTGTTTTTCTCTCAGACACACAGGTATTAGGCTCAAATTAGACAGCTGAAAAGTGAATTTTGTAGCTCCACCACCAAACATCTGCAGATGAAACACGAGTGTTCACAGTGCCCAGCGGGAAGCATCCTCTCCACCTCAGGAAGGTGCACCCTCAATGTCACCTGGACAATGTAGGGCTGAGTTTCTCCATTTCATACCCAGATTTTACACACTGGGGATTACAAAGCAATCAGTTTTTAAAGCAGCAACAAACATTCCCATTCTTAACCCCACAATATTGATAGAATAAACTCAGCCACTGGACAGAGTTAACATCACCAACGATGCCAGTGCCATCACTACACCTACTGCTGTCACTCTTTTCCCTCCACTTCTACACACAATGAAAAAGTACTAATGTTTACTGACTTAGAAAATTGTTTCTGCAACAGACTTGTAAGTTCCATCTCACCAGGTATTACCCAAGTCAATTTTACATGGATACTCATAAACGTTTCCACCAAAATTCAATTTATCTGCATTTTGTTTTCCCTGCATCGTCCTCAGAACTGGGCTGCATCCATGACGCTTGGGTTGCAAAAACAACAGATAGTGTCTTTATTTAAATGCTCTCATTCTTCTCTGACCAATGCATGTTTTCTAATATAGAACTTTGGTAAAATGAAAATAGAACAATACACTCTCTGGTAGTAGAACACAGAAAATCATAAGCATCTGTTTGCTATATTAATGAGTAAACAAACTAAAAAACCTTTAGAACCACAGAGCTCTCTCTCTCTCCAGCACTTCATTCTCACTCCCTATACCACATTTTTCCCTATTACTCACACTAAAGTTCAACTTGTGAAAGGATGTTTGAAACACATCTCAGTGTTAACAATCAGCTTCTATAAAGTTGTTAACTAGGTCTGAGAAATGGGGTGTTAAATCTAAAAACATCACCACAATGCGTCTGCTGAGGGTTGTATGGAAAACCTGAACAAGGGCCTGGATGTTCCTTTACATTGACACAAAGCTCAGCTTAAGGCCAGATAAAGTGCCATTTACATTCCCTTTAAGGTTCAGGATGTAATTACAGCTATGCACTGTAAAGACACTAGAAACGAGAATTAGGCTTCAAATATTTTAAGCAGGAATTATAAAAATTATAAAGGAGTTCAACACTGCTGAATTAAGGGTTTTAAGAAATAATTCAGGAATGCAGTGATTTATTTTGCAACTGAATCATGATGGAATTATTCTTACATGATTCCTGAGAGGAAAAGACAAAGTTAAAGAGCACAAAACTGGGAAAGATTAACCCAGGTCCACAGAGGTAAGCATAAGACAACCAAAATTCTACAGACCAACAAAAGCTTGGAATGTCACTAAAAGGAAAACGGAGGGAGAAAAAGAAAGAAGGAAATTGTTTTTCAGTGATTTATTACCAACTTTAACTCTTCAAAACTTCTGTGCTGCCATGCAGAAATTAAGAACACCACCTACTCTGGCAGCTGCTGCTACCACTTTTGCCAATTTCATTCCTGGATTTCCTCAAAGCTTTCAAAACACTCCCTTCTTTCCATGATTTACAGCTCACAGAAGCAAAGCACCTGCTGTTTCTAGAGGAACCCTTCACACGGGTAATTGTGGCCTCCCCTGCCAGGGTGTCACACAGCAGTTCTATTTAGCAGAGCTCACTCTCACCAAAAACACTGCACCTGCAAGACCACATTTACAGACAAGGTCACGGAAGGAGCTTGGAAACAAAGATGAAGAGGAAGCAATGACTGATGATTTTAACAAACACGGTTGTCCTCGGTGACCTTAAAAGCCTTTTTCAACCTGAATGATTCCACAACTCTAAACCGGTGCTTCTGGCCCAGGTAACACCCCACACCCAGGTGTGGTGCGCCTGACTAATACACGCTTTAACCAGCTGCTGTGAAACGCTCTGAGGTTTCTGCGCCCGTCAATTCAAATTAATTGCATTTATTATTATTATTATAAATCACTGAGCAGTTTCCACACTGAAGCCACCGCTGGAGAACCACTACTGGGCCCAGGGGACGTTTCAGCCACCACATCCACACCCCGGGGGTGCTGCGGGAACCTTTTGCGGGCTCTGAGCTCAGTGTCCCGGGCAGCCCCACGGCCGCGCCTGTGCCCGACCCCGGGCCGGGGATGGAGGGATGGACAGACGGCTGGAACTCGCCCCCACCGGCTGCGCCTCCTCGCTGCCCCCGCGGGCTCCGCAGAGGCGGCAGCTCCCCCGCGCCACTCACCCAGAGGATGAGGCTGTCGCACAGCAGCGGGTCCGCCGCTTTGGGCTCCATCGCGGCACAGCCACGTCCCCTCGCTCTGGGGCCGCCCCCGCTCGGCGGCTCCGGCCGCGACTCCGCTCCGCCCGCGCGCCCGCGCGGGGGGCGGGGTTGCCGCCAGCGCCGGCCAGTCAGCGCCCGCGCCTGCCGGGAGTGACAGCGAACCTCACCAATCATGGGGGAGGAAGGGTGTGTTCGAGCCAATCACAGTGAGACCCGTTAGGGGCGGGGATCCCTCACGGCCGCACCGCCCCCCTCAGAGGGAGAGGGGCCGAGGCGGGGTCGCGCTCCCGCCCCGGGGTGATGCGTGGGCGAAGCGGGATTGTGTCACTCCCTCCACGGAGTGAACTGATGGGCTCCGACTCAGCGAGTGCAGCCCCCGCGCTACCCCCGCCAGCTCGGGAGGCGCCGCTCCGTCACAACATGGCGGGTGCTGCTGCCTCACAGCCCGCCCCGACTGTCCCGGCGGTGCCGCGGGTCGGGCGCCCCGGGGAGATCGCGGGGGGAGAGCTGCTGGTGCGGTGCAGAATTACCTGTGCTTAAGGTGCAGGTAGGTCAGGGTACCTGTACCAGCCACACGCGTTCATTTCTGAGCAGGATACGGAATTTCTTAAAAAACAGATAAATTTTTTAAAAATCGTTAAACGAGGCAAAAATACCAATCCATCTCCTGGGGAGGAAGCGCTGAAGCACAGGGGTGAGGAGCTACTGCTTTTACCCTTCTGGACGTGGGACCCCTTGCCCCCACCGAACGGGACGGATTGAGAAGGGATACAGCAGTTTGACCTTTCTGAATTTATATTGTCATCTCTGCCTGCCTGCTCAGCACGTCACACGCCACCACACAGGCACCACGCTCTTCTTTGCATCTTAAGTAGAAGTACTTTGTTGTTTGATTTTTGTTTCAATGAAAAAAAAAAAACCACCAAAATTTGTTCACTCTCTTTACTATATTTCAGAGGAAAAGCTTACCTTATTTGATCAGATCTTGTGGATGACTGATTCAGGATTCTTCTATAGCACCCTGCCCCAGACACCAGAGAAAAATCTCAGTACCTTACACTAAAACAATGGGATTATTCTGACCCTTTCCTGTTTCAGCAAAAGAATTTATTTCTATCTATCTCCTCTTTTACTCCTTCATTTGAACCATTATTTTTTGTTAGCTGATTCTGTTTTATAAAGATTCTTACATTGCCTGTTAGTACTGGAATGTGCAGAATGGCATTAAATGCATCACTGTTTAGGGCAGCCTAAGAGTACACTAAATATCTTGAGTAATAGCTGTTACAAGCATCATATCTTCCTTTTTAGCCACTCTTCAAGATACATAATTTTCTGTTACTGATTCTACTTTACGTTGCAGGGATGGAAATTGGTGGTGATGACATGGACAGTATTTACATGACTATTTCCCTCAAAGTGCTGTCCAGAATTGATAAAGGCTCAAGAGTGGACTTTGATTTCTGGAAACCCTATTACTGTTTCCTTCACCAAAGGTGCTTAAAGAGACTTGGTTGCCATGGAAGATTAACATAAGTCCTTATTAAAAATAGAATAAGGAATAAAAGGTTTTTACAGTAAAATCCCACAGAGTTCTGTGCTGGGATTTGTACTGTTGAGCACGCCCATTTTATTTTTTTTGTATTTTTGCTCTTTTATAATTTCTACTACCTTTTGCTTATTTTAGCCTTCTTTATTTCCTTACAGGTTCCATAATTTGATGTCCTTTCCCTCTCAGGCAGTGTCACATCCTAATGTCAGTCGCTTCCTGCCATCGTAAAGCCCAGGAAGGCAGTGAGGGTGAGGCCTAGCGAGGTAACCAGGGTCAGGTACAGTCCCATGACCACCAGGCAGGTGCACAGTGATGAGGCAGCTCTGAGGCCAAGCCGAGAATTCAGTCCCCAGGGCACAGTCCATGTCCATGGGGTCCCTGGACAGCTGCCAAGCTGGGAATTCATTCCCCAGGGCACAGTCCACATCCATGGGGTCCCTGGACAGGCACAGGCGTGACTGTGACACCGCTGCACCCAGGGCTGAGCTGGAACAGAGGGGATGGGTGGAGGCACCAGGTGAGGCTATTCAGGCCTCTTTCAAAAGTATCCAGAAATTATTATTCCTAAGGGATGGCAGTGCAGGAAAGGTGTTGAGAGAATGTGGCTGGTGCAGGGAGCGTGGCTGAGAGCTGTGTAAAAACAAGGCAGGCTGTGCAGGTCTGGTAATCTGGGATTATGTGAGGAGAGATCGGCTCACCCGTGTGCTCCTGGCTGCTGCATCCAGGTCAGACGGCTGGCTCGGCTGAGGGAGCACTCACCCAGACAAACCAGTGTCAGCACACAGCAAGGGTTTGTCTGAACCTACAGAGAAATAAAATACAGCTCCAGACAGATCTGTGCAGCTATTCCACATCTTTCAGGGTACATCAGGAACACCACAGCACTGTCCAGCCCTGCCCGGAGCTCAGCCATGGGGCAGGAGCGTAACAAAGGGATCTCTGTGCCTGATGCAGAATAAGGTGGTTTGAGTTTATTTTTTAAGCCTGGTTGGAGATTTCTTCATGAGCTGCAGCTTTTGTGAATGTCTGTCAGCACATTCTGGGTTAGTGCCAATCAAGGATTATGACCTATATTAACATCCTAGAAACAGGGCAGGCCAGCCAGGACTCCACGTCACACCAGGACTGCAGCTCAGTCTCCTGCTGTCTGATACTCCACTGTTACTACATTTTAAAGTCAGGTTAAATTACTTCTCACAAGAGGGATTAATTTAAAATGTGCCCACTCCTTTTGACAGTGCATCTCTTGCCTTCTTGACAAGGCATCTGACAGTCTCTCAGTGAGGGCTGTCTGACTTTCTTAACAAAACAGAAGAATAGCATTTGTACAATTATTTAACTGCTATTCATAAAAATCAAATAGATTCCTAAGGGCTTGGTTTTATGTTCCATGGGACTTACATCATTGTATCCAGTAATATGAACAGTGTTCAGTTCAGACATTACTTGTGGCTTGCTCAAGAAAACCCCACATCCAGACACTGGAATTTTCCCATACCTTGTGTGGCACACAGGCATCTCACTGGTAGTTTAAAAATAGTGTTGTTGGAAAATCCTAATATACAGGACTGTATCTAAAAGGGATTTTCTAAGCACTTGGAAAGAAAGACATTAGGATGTGAAAACACCAAACAGTGACCCTTGGTGGTTAGTTGAGTACCTTGCACGTTTCTTGCTATTAGAAAACATAAGATGAAAAATGTTCCTCAGCTTTTCAGTCATGTTTAGCAGCTTCATGGATTTGATTTATGGAAGTCTGCACCTCTCAAGCATCTTTCAAAAGCTTTAGGAACATCCCATAAGCCCTGTGGTGTTCTGTGGTGCCGAGGCATGTTTGAATTTTTCAGATACACAAACTAGGAACCAATTCCCAAAATGTATGCAGTGAATTATTACACAATACAAACTGATTTGATACCTGCTGTATTCCCTGAGCAACACCGCCCTTCATGTCCTGTCACAATCTCTTACACCTTCCTGGCGTATACACTCCCACTTCTTTTTGGGTGAAGCTCTATGTGTATTGGAAGTTATTCTATTTCCATGAAAAAGGCATTTGCTATCTGTTTATTCTCCAAATTTGGCCAATTTAAAATTATTATAATCAAATGGAGTTTATTCAACATAACTGAACACCTACAAATCCTAAAATATGAATTAAAAAGCCACTAATGTGAACTGGAGTTGTGTGACTGGCTGGAGGATCTCACTGCCTTGCTTGTCTCGTGCAGGTTTGTGTTTCCCAACTGCTTTTCCCTGCAGATGCTCCACGGTGCTTTCCAGGTCAGTTATACCCGAGGGCAATGGGAGCAATGCCACGATGATGAATGTGAAATTTTTCACTCTGTAACTGAAGTATCTGTTTTGTAAAACACTCTGAATTAATTTGGCTGTTCTAGGAGATGAAAGTCGTTAGAATCTGTTATTATCAAAACAGTAGGAATTCTGGATATTTCATATATTAATTCTGAAAATTAATACTTTTTACAAGAGTATATTCATCGAAGGAGCCTTGTATTCAGGCTTTGCTGAAAGGTGGCAATATTTTCACAGGGAATAAGCATCTTTCAAGTATTTTCACATGAGGTGGAAATACTTTCATCACTTGAGGCCCTTCTTGGAAGTCGTTCAACTATGAGAACATTTGCTTTAAATAAAAGCCAGTGGGATTCCTGGAATTCCTGAGCCGTTTATGCTCTTCTTTACACTTTTCTTAGCACATCTTAACTCACTGAACATTTCCCTCTCCCCACAGAATTAATACTGGTAAGAAATAGTCATCTCATTAAAACTATGAAGGCTTGGGCTGGCATTTCTAGTCTGTTTTATGGTTAATTTAGTTTTGACTGGAGTAATTTCTGGGGTCCTTGGTTACAAACTTTCAGGTACAGTTATCCTGGCCCACGTGATACAGCAAGTGTGTGCGTGCAGAGTATAAATGCATTTTTACACATGCATACCTTTTACACAGAGTAATAATATTTAGTTTATATTAGCAGTTTCAGAAAAAAATAGCAACTGCTTTTACAAATATTATTTAAGGTTTCTCATATGTCAGTGAAAAAATTTGATAAAGTGAAAGAGAAAAGATGGAAATAGAGCCACAGAGCCAATAGTTGTGACAGCTCATTAAATTCCATAAAAACCTATACTGGGGACAAAGCAGGTCAGAGGTGGAAAACT